AGTGACTCATTCTGCAATCTGGAGATCAGATTTGCCAGAGACAGGGCCTTTTGCTTGTAAGCAAGATAGTTTTGGAAGTCTGCCCAACTTGGAGGTAACTTCTCAATGAAGCAGTTCACCGTGAATGTCTCACATAGCTTCATTCCTTCAGTCCTAATCTCTTGAAAGATTAATTCCAGCTTGTGCACTTGTGGCATGATGGGACGAGAATCCACCATCTCAAACTTGAGGAGTTTCGCTGTAGCGAATTTCCCAGAGCAAACATTGTACGACTTGTACTTCTTTTCCAAAGCATCCCAAAGTTCTTTGGAACTTTTGACCTCACTGTACACATCGAACAGCTGGTCCACCAGGCGATTCTTGATGTGCCCTTTGCATAGGAAGTCTGAGTGCTTCCACGCTTCAACGGTAGCCAGAATTGTAACATCTTTGTTTCCTTCTGGCACTGTTGGGGGATCCTCTGTGAGGTACTTGCTCATCTGCATTGACGACAGAATGAAGTGCATCCTTTCTTGCCACTGCTTGAAGTTCGACCCATCGAACTTGTCGGGCTGAAGTCCTGCGGTTACCGACGCTGGCATCCTGACTTCACCCGAGCTTCCATTGGTAGTCATGTCGACATCACCTTTGAAAGATGAGAGGTTTGAGTGGACAGAGGCTAGAAATGTGAATTTTGAGGAGTTTGAAGAAGCGCCTAACCGAAACTCCAGTGTTGGTACTCCCAAAGCCAGGAATACCATATGAGGTTTACACCGATGCCTGCGGAATGGGTATAGCTGGTGTGCTTATGCAGGAAAGGAAAGTTGTTGCATATGCCTCGAGACAGTTGTGAAAGCATGAACTGAACTATCTCACTCATGATTTGGAGTTAGCAGCAGTGGTGTTTGCTTTAAAGATCTGCCGTGCTTATTTGTACAGGGAGAAGATGCAAATATACACAGATCAGAAGAGTTTGAAGCATATTTTCACCCAGGGCGACTCGATTTTAAGGCAACAAAAATGGATGGAGTTGTTAGCAGATTATGGTTTGGATATTGCCTATCACCTGAGGAAATTTAATCATGTGGCAGATGTTTTGAGTCGTCACAGAGGAGATGTTGCTAAGAAAAAGGAAATGGAGAATCTAACCGCAATTTTGGCAAGTCTACAGTTGTGTGTTACTGAAATGGACGAAATTTTCACGGGTCTTGAAGCATTGGAAAATGCGGATCTTCTGTAGAAAATTTGTCAGGAGCAGAAGAATGATGATGCTCTAAAGGGAATGGTCGAGAAGCAAACGGTTGGGTATCACATGGCAGTCAATAAAGCTTATATGTATAAGAATCGAGTTTGTGTTCCAAGCAGTGAAGATCTGAGGAGAGAAGTGTTGAGTCAGGCTCATAACTCGAAGTTCTCTATTCATCCCGTATATACCAAGATGTATTGAGACCTAAAGATGTGTTCCACATTTTGCTACTCAGGAAGGTAGTAAGGGAATCAATGTTTATTTTGTCTACCTTGCAAGCTGACCTGGAAGGAAATCTGTAAGTTCTGAGTAAACCGTCTGAAATTTTGGAATTTGGAGAGAGTAAGATTGATGGTAAGAAGACCAAGTTAGTGAAAGTCAGATGGGAAATGGATGGCATTCACGAGAAAATGTGGGAGCCAGAAGAGCAGATGCGAAAGGAGTACCCTGAACTCTTTCCGGTCGGAATGGAAACCGATGAGAAGGGAGCGAATTTGAACTCGGGGACGAATTCATTTCAATAGGGGGAGAATTGTAACATCCCAGCCCATCTAAAAGCCCAGCAGGAGGCCCAATTTCCTAGGGAAGGAGCCTCATTCTCTGCAAATCAGCCTTAGCTGCAGAAAGAGAGAGAGAGAGAGAGAGAGAGAGAGAGAGAGAGAGAGAGAGAGAGAGAGAGATTGCCCGAGCTGCCTCTGCCCGAGCTGTTGTCGTCGCCAAGCCTCCCTGAGTTGCCGCAAGCCACCGCTGAGCCGAGGAGATCCCGTCGCGAGTTCCTGCCTTCTCGTCGTCTACTTGACTCAATTAATTCTCAGTCTCCTTTTTCCAGATCTGCAAATTAGCCAAGGTGAGGAGTAGATCCAGATTCTTAGGACAGTGTTTGTTTGTTTTGGGTGTATTGAGTCTATATCTACTCAGGTAGTTGATTTGATACATTTAAGAAGGTCATGAAAGAGTTAAATTGATAAGAAAAACATTAGATGAATCACCAACATAATTGTTTGATCACCGATTGATTGCCTAATGATTGTAATTAGCTTGAGATAGGTGATCGACCTGTATAACGGCACAGTGGTTTGGTTATTGTTTGCTGGGGTTCATGCCTGGAATAAAGGATGAATCACATCGCTTGGTAGTTGAGGCGAACCACGTTGAATGTCTTCGTGATCTAAAGAGTTTGCCATACCTCATTACCATGATGAAGAGTTTACCATGCTTTGTTAGCATGAGGATCCGTGTATTTGCTTTGCTTGTGTGCTTGTAGAGCACTGCTTGTTGCTTGTTTAGTTTTAGGCTTGATTTATTGGAAATAAATGGATATTGTAATGGGAGTGTGAATTTATTTCTCACTGAGTAATTTTTCCAAATTACTCACTCTTCTCGAATCTATATTTTTCAAGTGAGTATAAAGATTATGATCTTCATGGTTACGAGGAAGAGGAATCATAAGTGGTGTGCTTTTAGAACGGGTTTTTCGTTCGTTTGAATTCCCTTTTCTGTACTTATTTTCAAGAGATTTCTTAGTCATTTGCTTCAGTTTATTTTTTAAAAATAGTTATGAATTTTTAATTGCAAGACTTGAGTTTATTTAATTGAATAAGAGTATTTTTCAGAAATCGTCTAATTTAATCTAATTAGTGTAGTAAACCGGTTTAGAACTGATGGTGACAGTCCAGTTTGTCTGGTCGACGGGTCGGATTGTTACACAATGCAATTCTAGAATGGAATTATCTATGCTCACGTGACTCTATAGGTACCTTTCGTCTTCTATAGCGATTTTGCTCATTCAATTCTAAATATGACAATATGCTACAACACTCTCGTGGCTCTAATTAAACCTAAAATCAGATGCAAGATCATCAATCAAGCATACATGCATTAATAATAAGAATGAATGAAAGAACTATTCTATATCAAAATCTTTACTCTAAAAACCTAGATATTATTCGACCATGAGAGTCTTTTTCGATGGCCCCCTATACCCAACAAGACAACTATTCAGACATATTCGAGCTTAATATCATCATTGGTTAAAATGAAAGCAGTAAAAGTAAAAGGAAAAGAGATGAAAAAGATCGTCTCTTACTAAAGAACAACATTGGCGAAATGCTCTCTATAAAAGCAGGAAAATAAAACTAAAACCTAACAAAATATTCTCTGTCTTAGAAAGACGTGAAAAAATACACTTAAGAAAAAAGCTAAAAACATGTATTTATAGTCTTTATTATCGTAAAGGCGTCTAGGGTTTGCAAAATAAGTGACAAGAAAGATTTGGGCTTGTAACAAACTTTACTAAGTCAGATTTTTTTTATTAACAATTAATTTTATGACAGTTTAATAAAATAATTTGACTCTATAACCAAATTAATATGAATGATATTAATTTAATTACTCTAGTAAAATGAACTTATTTTTATAACATTTTTAAAATTATCTTGGTAATGACACGTCAGCCTGATACAATTGTAAATAACATATGACTTTAAAGTCAGTCATTATCAGTTAATATATAGGAGATGACTTATATAGCCATGTCAACCAATGTACAATGGACAAAATCTATATAAGTATACATGTGTGAATTTCAAGTTATAATATTAGAAAAAAATTCTAAGACCTTTAATAGTTTTCATAAATATATCACTTATTTTTTAATTTTTATTACATTAATACTAATAAAAAGGTAAATCTATTAATATACAATATATAACTAAAAAAACTTTAATCTTATTTTAGTGAAATTCCAGCTAAGTAATACAGATTTTTATTATGTGTCCATTCTATTAAGGTTTTTTGCCTTTTGTAGCTATGTAGAATTAATAAATTGTAATTATAAGAATGTTAATAATCAGAAAATATTTTATTAAAATTAAAATAAAAATAGTTTATGAAAAAATTAGAAATTATAGAATATGTTTCTATCTCATCAATGCATACATATAACATGAACAATATATCTATATATTAATTATGTCAAATCATACTTAATTGATTAACAAAAAGTTAAATGATATATTTATGATTTTTTTCTATAGTTAACATAAATGTATGTATAAGTAAATAATAAATTATTGTATGTTTATATATACATATTACGTAAATTCAAGACATATAAAGGAAACAAATCCTATACATTTCTTTATTTGCTTAAATATGTGCCTTAATTTTTCAAGAGTATTATCTTAAAATATCATATATATATATATATGTGATATTTATATATATATATATATTACCTAAATAAGTAAACTTATTTTACTTATTTTGCTGAGTTTTTACAGCTCATACATTTTCCTTTTCTATAGAAATGAGCAAATACTTTTTGAATGCATTTAATATGAGGTATACTATGTCATAAGTTTCTATTGTATTGAGATTTTTGCCTTTTAGATATTATAAATAAAAAAAAACAATAAATGAAATAAATAATCATAACTTTCAAAAGTAAAATTAATTAAAAATATTCTACTTTAAAACAAATAAACTATAGAGAATTTGGAACAAATAAACTATAGTATTAAGTTAATATGTTAAGAAATTTTAAAATCTTGAGTATCACCTAGTGTTAACAGAAATCCATCTATCTTTATAAATTTAACCTGTCTGCTATGAAGTTTCATACATCTTTTAGGGGGTAGAGCAATTTTTTCCCCTTGTTCAAAGAGGTCTAGATGATTGTTTGAGTTCTTTTTTTTATTTTCATTTTGATTTAGAGAAAAGAAATACTGGGGTTCTGAGATTTGAGTTGTGATTGCGATAAAATAATATAATAGCTATGAGTTTAGAGAGTAATGAAATGAACGGATGCAAACAATTCTCTTTTGACCTCAACGCCAAGCCAGTTGATGATGGCAATTGCGATTCTCCCAAAAACTCAGATTCATGTTCAATTTGTCTTGAGACGCTGGTCAAGACTAGTGATGATAATCGAACACTTGTTACGCTTAAATGTGACCACAAGTTTCATCTCGGTAATATTATCTTTATCTCTGAACAAATAATTTTATTTTATTTACAGAATGAGTTTTTATATTTGAGAAATTGATTTGCTCATGTTGACTATTTGTATAAGATTGTGATCTATAGATGTGATGATGTGATATTCTGGGCATATATATATATATGCACATTCTTGATATGAAATTTGAGCCATATCTATTTATTCAATAGTACTTACATAATTAGGTTTTTATAATTATAATGCGCTATATATTGTTATTTTATAGAGATCATTAACAATCTTGTGTTAACATGTTTCCTTTGTGTACAGATTGTATTGGTTTAGCTTTTAATGCAAAAAAGTTGATGCAATGCCCAAACTGTAGGCAAATAGAACCGGGCCAATGGCGAGATCCAACAAACCCTCCAATCCCAACTGCTGGAGAAGACGACATTAATATAGTAATATTTGTTTCGGTTTTAAAATAATGTTATTGGATGAGTGCTTTTAGAAAACAGTGTTTATCTCACAATTAATGTCATCTTAAGACCTTAAAATATAGTCTTCATGGCTTAAAAAACATATTTATGGATTCATTGATCTAACAATCATGTTTTGTGTATTGTATAGACTATGGAAATGGAGTTGTGCCCTTTGCAAGGCTTAGGACAACAAGATTCTTTCGAGTAAGATTTACATTAATTAGTGTTACATTAATATTCTTATAACTTTTGGGAATTTAAAATTTTAATATCCTCCCTTTCAAAACATTTTAGGAACCCACATTTATTGGGTCAACAATGTCAATACATAGAGTATTCTTTCACCATTCCTCAATCTTCTGCTACTGTTAGCGTCCCTCAAAATTTCATTTTCAGTAGCCATTGGATCACCAGCACAGGACAAGTCCATTATCATATGCCATCTAATCGAATGATTTTCTGGAGTGCCTCAGAGCCAGGAGTCATAAGAGGGAGACACTATCTGGCTCATCCCTTTTATGATCACAGGTAAGTGTTTTAATTAATGTTTTCAAGTATTTTTACTCAAAACCACTACTCTTTATAACTTTTTTTTTCATAATCTATACAAATGAAATTTTTTGCTACATACATATATGTGTTTAAATGTCAAAATATGAGACTCTTAATATTGTGAAATTTTAGACTTCTTGAAATTCACTCCAACAGAAATTTTTTCTTCCTATTCTAATTATATTTAACGTTTCAAAAAAAAACCCATAAAATTAGAATAAAACATTTGCATGTTTTTCTTCATTAGAAGATTTGTTCTTCTGATAAGATATGAAATCTTTTTTTCTTTTTTCCAATCCCATTTATAGATTCAACAGCTCAGCAGTGGTTCCACCGAATCTAGACGGCAGCTCAATAGCTAATGCTTCGCCTTCTCTAATCAGCAGCACAATGCACCTTAACCAGCTTCCATTTCTCTTTGGACAAACTGCTAATCCTGAACAAACTGCTAGAGGAATCTCATATTCTCGGGCAACTTCATCTGGTTCGAACCAGGCTAACAGCAATGGCCTCAGCCGATCTAATGTATGGGCGGCTGAGAATTTCTTTGATCTGGAGGAACAGTTCGCGATGGAAAGAGAGTTATACTTCGTGATTTATGGCAGTCGGGGTGGAGGGCCTAGAGGTGGAGGGAGCAGCAGCAATGGTGGAAGAGCTGGTGGTGAGAACGGAGATGGCAATGGGATAAGTGGCAGAAACTGAAACGGCGGTGCTAACTAACATAGCGTGCAGACTGTCTCAAGCAATTATGTCTAGTTCATTACATTCTCATGAATTAAGAAACTGAACTTGTTTTTCATGATTTCACAAAACTTAAAACTGTTTTACAAGTCATTATGTTGGTTATAATTTAATGAAAATAAGAAGAAAAAATAATAGGTTTCTGCTTTGGAGAGAGATTAGTTTCGGCTCTTTGTGACTAGTAGCTCTTCTCTTAACACGAGAATCACACCTCGAGCTTTGATCTGGCTAAGACCTGGTTTGTTTGGTTTAGTTTGGTTCAGGCCGAAAGCAAGGTGGTATCTTTGGGTACTTCAACGGGACAAAGGGGATAAGACAAGGAAACTCATTGTCTCCTTACTATTTTGTCATAACAATGGAGGTTTCCACAAATCTTATGAACTTAAGATATAGCTCTGGTCTCATAGGTTACCACCTAAACTCGCTACAAGGTATTCTTAATAATTGATGGATTCTTTGCTTTCTCAGGATTGAAAATAAATAACTGAATAAGGACATATCGGCCTTATAAGCAGTATGTCCTTATTTATTTTCAATCCTGAAAACTTGGAAACAGGATTGAAAATACTGAAATGGAAACACTGAAAACTTTTTACCTCGGGCTCCTCTCAGATTCTCTCTCGTATATGCAATGGGATAATATTCGAATATGAATCTTCTTTGTTTCTCACTAGGCTTTTTATCTTTTGAGCCTTAAAGCAACTTATTAGCTATGCCAAATTATTATAATCGAAAATTTTGTTTGTTGGTATATTCTTGGGAGGGCAATTGATACAGCTTCTGAGCTTCATATATGTTATTTTTTTATTGAAACAAAGTTGTTCAGGGAAACAGAACACAAATATACAAGCATCAAGAAATGAAAAATATTGGTAGCTAAAGATAGAATCTTTTGCGCTTTTGACTCAATGATAATACAAGTTAAATATTAATTATACATATGTTGATAATTTTGGATTCGGCATTGAGTATTATCGCTAGGTACCAATAAATAACATGTAAATTCACTCCTCCCAAAAAGAACTATTCACACCTAATTGTACAATGAAAACATCTCAACGTATGAGACCAAAATCTGAAAGTTGTCAGTTGAGAGACATATTTCTCTCGTACATACAGAACCGTTCCATTTTTCTTTTCTTTCGAAATTGTCAGATAATACAGTTAACGAGAACATAGTCGCATTACATCGTTAACTATACTTGTTAATTAGAATAACGTTTCATATTAATATTTTATTTAATATTAATTTGGGTGAAAGTTAATGATAGGTTATGGGATTTGGGTTTATGGTAAATGTGTTAGAGTTTACCATTTAAAGATTAAGTTTTAGGTTAAAATGGTTAGGATTTAATACTTTAGTGTTTATGGTGTCGGGTTTAGGGTTTATGATTTTACTGTTTATGGTTTAGGATTTAAGGTTTAAATAAAAGTATTAATATTAGGGTTTAGGTTTGTTTGCACACAAAAATATTACGGTTTAGGTTTTTAGGTTTTTAGGGTTTAGGGTTTAGTGTATTGTTTTTTATCTTACTCGAATAAAATAAAAATGTCATATTAACGAATAAATGTTATCCAATTGTTCTTTAAAAGGAATCCATATTATCGGCATGGAATAAAGTTAATGATAGTTTTCATATGTAATTATCAGATATATAAATTTAAGTTAGCAAACGATGATGACATTACCTGGACTGTTATGTTGTTTACGATGTCTAACTTTATTAGCTACCACGCAATACTTGGATACACCAAAACTTGTGTCAGGCTATAGGGTCATTATCCATGCTATATCTGTGTAGAGCTGATTTGCATTTAATGTTCATGTCGGCTAATTCTTTTTTTTTTTTTTGGCAGGAGCAAGTGGTGTTGACATCATAAGGAGTAAAGGTAATACATAGAAAAAAATGACGTGGTAGGTCAATACTGATTTCCGGTAATCTTTTGGTATCTACTCAAATATTTGGTATTAAACAAAATCACTCGTGGCATTTTGGTTGTCTTAAATCAATGGATACCCAAAACTATTAAGTTTTTTAGTTTTTTTTTGTCTTTCTCTATCTCTCTCTCAATGTGGTGACTAGTGTAACTTTGAATCTTAAAAGTAGCAAAACAATGGAGACTAAAACAACAATATTAAAACAAATGAATACAAATAAAGTCAAGAAAATGATGGCGGCGTAGAACTCGCCGTGGAATCGTGATAAAAAAATGATAAGGGGAACAACTTAATAATTATAAGAATAAAAATATAGAAAAGGGGACAATCAAACGAATAAATAATTAATCTTTTTCTAGAAACATACACCTAGTTTAGGGTAATTGATTTCCGATTTCTTCATCAATAGCTTCTTAAAATGAAAGTTTGGTAAGATGTTAATAGAGAAGGGCATATGAAGGAAGAGAACGTGACGTTTCTAAAAAGAAGGAGAAAGAGTTATAATTTTATAGTTTTGATGCAAAAGAAGTGAAAAAATGAAGACTTTGGAAAAAGGGGAAGCACCGTCGTTACAATCATCTCGATGGAAAAAGGATTGTTGTCGTATGATAAAATCTTTCAATTGTGATATTCACATAGGAAATGTGACATCTATTTATTGGTTTATCTCTTGATCCACTCTCCCATCATTAAAATCGTCATACTTTCATTGATAAGAAGAAAGCCAATGCGACTTCTCTGTCATTTATGCAAAAGGTTATGTAGACAGAATAATATTGGGCCAAGCTGTAAAGCACCAAATACATGTGTCAATTGCCTGTACAATAAAGTTATAATTCACTACTTATTCAGTTATTCCAAACGTTTGCCAAATCCTCTATTCGGATAGTGAGCCGCTATGAGGTGAGATAGATTTAGGATTATTAATCTTCTAGATGTTCTTCGTTTGCCTTTGATTATACTGCGTGATTCTCTGCTGGCCACTTAGAAGCCGATCTGATATGATATGTTGCGAAAGCTTTCATTGATTGTCTGAACTAGGGTGAAACGAGCAATGATTCTTCAGGAGTGGAAACCTACCTATAGTTGAGTTGTGAATGTTGATGAGTCTTGTTCTGCTATTGCATCTTCTCCCTTCCAGGATCAGAGTGGAAACCTACTGATCAGGGTTGCGAGAGATAGTTGTTTAGTGCTGCGAAAGTAGGCTATTTATACTTCCGTGCCTCGAGTTCTAGAACATAAGTAGTTGATTACCTTTATCACTTGTTTAAATCGACATAGCTTAGTCCATGAACCCCTGAAAATTCCCCTTGATGCCCAACGTTTGTTTTTAATTGCTTACAACCTTCGAATTTCCTTTTTTCCATTCTACTTTTATTCGCTTATTACTTGCTTTACTTGCTTTCGTTTTTAATTGCTTTTACTTGTTTTGCTTTCTAGTTTAGATTTCGTGACAACCAAAACCCAAAACCAAAACCAAAACCTGTTTAGTTCTAGTCTGATTTAAGTATTGCCGTGAATTCGTACTGAAACAACTAAGTCTCTGTGGATCGATACCCTAAGTACTACAGCGCACATCTGTGCACTTGCAGACATTTAGGAGTTATAAATTTAAAACCTGAAGCTTAGTAAAACCGACCAACCCCGTTTACAATCGCAATCATCTGGTCGACAGTTCGGGTTGTTAGAAAGTGGTATCAGAGCCTAGGTTCGAGTTCGAGTTAGGAGAAAATTATTTCTAGGAATAACTTATTTTTTTCCTGATTTCAGATTTATAAAAAAAAATTTCGATTTCTTCCTACTTAAAGAAATAAAAATGTTTTGAGGGGATCTTCTTAAGTTATAAAACCAACATCTGAAACACTTTTCTCGTATGGTTGATTTTTATATTTGCAGGAAGATCAGTCTTTACGGGTGCGGACTGACTTTCTTGCTGAATTTCCTTGTTCTGTCGTTTTCAGATGCCTCTGAAAGGCAGAAATATTCAACGCCGTGCTGCCATTCCGCCAGTGAATGAGGAAGAGTTTAATTCCCATGTGGTAAGTGTGAATGAGAGCGGGAACAATGTGCAATTTCCGGTGATGAAAACCACAATAGAGCTAACCCTGCTCAGGGGACAGCTGAAGCTCATGATGCGTTGTTGGAGGAGCTGCGCCGTTACCAGGAGATGCAGAATGAGCCTGTCCCGCCAGTGAATGTCCAGCAGCAGAATATGCCGCCCCCTGTGTCGCCTCCTGTGCCTGTGCATCAGTTTGTGCCGCTCTCGGCAAATGCTCAGCATCAGTTTGTGCCCCTGGTGAATATTCATCAGCAGTTTGTGCCGCCACCGCCTCCTCTGGTGCAGCCTTATGCGTTTGGATTAACGTATTATGAAGAAATGAGGCACTTGAAGGACATGAACATGGTGTCATTTGGAGAAAGATCTGACCCTGTCACTGCTGACAAATTGAGAAAGAAGTTGGAGAGGAATTTTGAGTCCATGAGGTGCCTAGAAGGATATCGCAGGGAATTAGCAATTCAGTACCTGCGAGATGAGGCACTGATTTGGTGGGAAGATGTGATTGAACGAGTCCGTAGAAGCTATGAGCTGACATGGAATGACTTCAAGGATGAGTTCGCTCGTGAGTATTTTCCACCAGAAGCAATGGACCAGATCGAAAGTGCTTTTGAGGATTTGCGCCAAGGAAACCTTAGTGTGAGGGAATACAAGGAGGAATTTAACAGGTTGAGGAGATTCTCTAGGAATAGTTTTACTCAGGCTGATCTGATTCGTTTATTCATGAAAGGTTTGAGGTTGGAGCTAAGGAATTGATGTTTGATTGGGAGATACCAGAGTTTTGTGGGGCTTGTGGAAACAGCAGCTAACTAGGAAGTTGGTCTTGAGGAAGAGCCGAAGAAAGCAAGGAGCCTTCAGACTCGTGTTCAGGAGACCTAGAAGAGGACTTGGATGGATATGATTGGGAACTATCCTTATGAGAATGCTCCAGTGTGTAGTCGATGTGAGAAGAAGCATTTTAGACGT